GAGTATGTGTAACTGAAACATCTAAAATGATTTTTTTTTTCCTTTCCCCCTGCTTTTCTGAAACTTTTGACCATGTGGGCTGAGCTTATAACAGGATATGAAACTGCGTATGATAGCTCTGATTTATATTCTTGGATAGAGCTATTATTAAGGTGTCATATGAACAGATGGGATATGAATGATGAAGCTCAGATTGGGTAACTACTAGTTGAGAGGAAGTGACTAATTGAACTTCAGAGAACAAGAAGTCTGTCTTCTTGCAGTCAAAATACGTGAAACAAAAATACATATTTGTCCCTTCAATGTAGCTGCAGATCTGTTTCTTCTGCTTTGACAGCATGGAACCTTTATGTTCATGTTGGCAGCCTGTCTCACTGCAATAGTATAGAACATACTGTAGTTTCTCTTAAATAGAGGCTGCATATTTTTAAGATTATGTAAAGTATTGCTTTTTAACAGCTTAGTGCAACCATTAGATATAAGTTCTGTGTGATCAGGGCTATAATGATGGGGAAGTTCTTTACATTTCAAATCTAGTTGTTGTGATTATAAACTAGAAACACTTGGTGATTTCCCTTTCAGTAATATAACCTATTTTTCATTGCCCTGGAATCTAATGAAAAAATTTTGAACTTCTCATATTTTGTAACTACATTAAGCAGGCATCTTTAAGGTTCTTATTCTAAAACTGTGAAAACTACAGAGGATGAATGCTCTAAAATGCATTAAGTCATAAAATAATTTGAATATCCTCAATTTCCACTTACATTAGTTTTATTAAATTCTACCTGTATCATAAACTCAACTCGTGTGTCATGTCAAAACTTTTATCAAGTGTAAGTGTCAATAATGTTAATAAATTTGCATAAATCAGCAATTTTAAAACTGTAGCACTTCAGGAATTTAAGTATGAACAATGTGGATCAAAGCAGTGATTGATGTTGCTAACTGTATCATAACAGGATTTAGCACATTTAGATACTCTAACTGGAGCTTTAAAAACAATTTTGTGCACCTGATTCATATCAATCTGTGATGTGTCTAGTCGAATATTTAAATGACTAAAAAAGGTATGGGTCACAAGTATACAAATAAAATCTGAACTGCTAATGACAAAGCTATTTCATCATTGGATGGGAGAAGAGAATTAATACTTATAGCAAAATATCACTACAGCTATATAACTTTTAAGCATATGGGTGTTTCGGTGGAATCTCTATTTGTATTGGTACTGCAGAGACAAGGAAGGTGAAACTCTGTTGATCACTTTACCATTATTATCTTTTAAGAGTGGTTATTTTATGGATAAAATGATGGCCAGTTACTTAGTACTTCCATCCATTTACCACCACCAAAATGATGGATTTCTATAAATATTTAAAAGCCAGCAATTTTCTTGCTGCTACATAAGAAGTGTCACTTCAGACATATTAAGTGGAGGTTAATAGACATGAAAACAGAATATACTCTATAGCAGCAAAGGTTCTATAAGCACAGTCTGAAAATGAGTGCAAAAAGAAAACAGAACAACTTCCTATTCTTCGACAGATACTCAAGTCATCAAAGTTTAAGTGGCTACGGTTCACTCTAATGAAAAAAATCTCATTTTATGGAAAAAAATCTGTTCCTGTGGTTGACACTTTTTTTTAAGGCTTTTTATTTTAATTGCTATTCAGCTTCTAATTGTCAGAGCAATTTGTAAATCCCTCTGAACTTCTTCATTTTAACTTGTTATCCTGAAAAAAAGAACGAAGGTCCAAATAGTTACTTCACATATGCCAAAGAACAGGGCACTAGGGTCTTATGTATTCTCACTTTGATTTCTGTGTGTCTGAACTGGCATAATTAACATTTCATTATTTATGCAATTCTACTAAAATATAAGTTGATATGTTGAGAAATACTGTATTTGTCAGCACAAGTTGGCAAGGAACATTTGTATTCCTGTCCTCTTTATCACATTTCTTGACTACCAGATGCTACTTGGATGCCGTATACTCTTAGTTATTGCTGTATTTGTACATTTGCTCTGATATCCTTATATTAAATGTACTATATTGTTGAAGAAAATCTTTGGTTTATGCTTGAAATGCCTCTGCTCTAACTAATTGCTATCGTCTTACTTATTTTCTGCATTTATGTGGAGAGTTTAAAAAACCCTGCAACACTAAGTTGTTGTGCATTCCAATTGATTTCAGGCTTCAAACTGTTTTTTAAAAACAGAATTAATGTACTGAAAGCAGTTGGCCTCTGAAGGAATGTGCAAAAAGAAAGACTTGTTTTGTAAACTTCAGTGCAAGCAATTAACAATGAGTATTAAATGGAAAAAAAAAAAAAATCAGTCTTTGAAGTGAGAAAAATGACATTATTTTAAAATTAAAGTTGTGTATTAGTTGTCTGCAAATAAATATCTTTGCTCAGATGTAAATCACAGGTATTAAGCACCACAGTCATGAGTTGCTGCCTTTTTGCCTTTGTAAATCTGTGCAGACTTGGGGGATTTGTTTTGTTATGTTTTCTTCCTTTGTTTTCATCACTTCATCCCTAACAACTTGGGAGGGAGTGTGGTTACACAGCTATTGCAACTAGATAGTTTGTTACTTCTGAAAAATTAAGTTATATAAGATGCATTTTGAATTCTTTTTTTATGTTGAAAGAAACAGATGAAATTGATAGACATTGAAATTTACACTGGCAGATGGAGTGAGCAAACAGCAGTATACCATGTTTCTCAGAATATCAAACATTTATCTCACACATCATGTCTGAAAAGTGCCAGTGTACATTTTCTGCTGACGTTTCTATTTTGACCATAAAAACGTCCATTTTGGCCCCATGGTAAGATGCATGTGATTAGACATAATGAGAGCTCTAAGTTGATGGTGCTGCTATAAGCATTAATCATTAGTGTAAAGCGGCTGGGTTTTGTGCAGAAAAGACTCCTGTTGTGGTTTTTAGGTAGCTACACTAACTTCAGAGTACCTACCATTAAAAGAAAAGCAGTTCTGTATTACTTTAAAAGATTTTCAGTATCAAAATGCACAATATTTATATCTTGGTGTGTTCAATTTTATAGACAGAAAGACCTGGAAGATCTTTCCATGTTCTCATGGAAGGAACACTGCATTTGAGTTAACATGGTGCAGTGGGTGCATATCTAGTTAGGTGACATAGGAGTAGGAGAAGCTTCAGTTTCCTTAGAGGATGCAGTGGCTGGGAACAGACTTTGAAGAATTCATCCAGAGCAAATCATCAGGACTAGTTTGCGTCCATGGCTAAAAGATGCCGGGGATAAGAAGTGAAAAGCACAAGGCAGAAGGATACTTGAGTCAGGGGGAAAAGAAGCAGAGTGGCCTGTGAAGTTTATTCCCTTCCAGAGCTTGAAATATTTCATCATTTCTGAGACTTGGCACTTTTTTCTGTCAGTAAACATTTATAAATCCTCAAGCAAAGTCATGGACTGCATAGAACTGTCAGTCTATTGCTGTCACTTAGTTCAACCAACAGCACTCGCTGCCCTTTGTGGCACTATGATACCGACTGGTGGGAGTTACTCTTCCAGTTTGCGTTTTATGACAATTTAGAAAATTATACAGTGCTTGAAAAACTTTGCAGATTACTATGTAGTTGGAGTGTTCATCTAATTTCCACTTATTTAACTGCAGCCCAAGCAGATACTGCTATCGAACTCTGAGAGTTCTTACAAAGTTGCAGAAATTCATAGTTTGTGCATGTTTCAGATCTTGCCATGAAATTCCCGTCATTGATTCTGTTCAGAAGATACTTAGTAAATCTGTATCTTCGTGTAGTCCAGGGTTGCTATAGGAGAAAAGGGAACTTTAAGCCATCACCTTGCTGTAAGACTTAAAGGGAATAGGTTGTCTCCTTGCCTCTTTCTTATCTTCACAGTTTTTGCTTGGACTTGTGCCTTCCTCTGAATTTGTTAGTGTGTATGAATTTAATGTATGTATTTCATCTAGTAATTACCAGAGGTAGAACAAGCTTTTGTAATTCTTTAGATAATGCTTTTGAATTGGATAGGCTTGTTGGTTAGATTTAGGGTTTCTTGTTTGTTTTGTGGGGTTTTTTTCCAGCTTGGAAAAGTTGGTAAATTTTGTAAAATAGCTGAGGGTACGTGTTTGGAAAGATGCAGCATGATCCATTTAATGGCTTAACTAAATGTCCATCAAATAATTTTCCTTTGTCCTTCATCCAGTCTCAAAGCTTTGATGAAGAAGCTTGCATGGGCTGGAAACATTTCAGTTCCCTAGACACTACTTGAATTAAGAATGTACATATTAAATAACGGACATAAACCAAGTAACTTAAAATACCTATAAGAAATTCATATCAAAGATGGCATTCAACATTTAGAAAATGTAAAGAACAGAATCTACTAGTTTTGACTGGGGACTTGGAGTTGTCATTGTCTTTACCTGGAGTAGCATTAACTAAGTGAATCCAAAATGGGGAAAAAAAAATTAAATATGTTTTCTAATACTTTAGCTAGTACAATTGGTAGGGGAGAGGGAGTCCGTGTTTGTTTCTATTTCAAAACAAATGTAAGAGCTCTGGAAAGCAGCTTTTTAAAATCAGTCTGACATATAAATAATCCTTAATCATGAAACAGCAAAAACATCACTGTTTCTGAAAGACAAAAAAATTGAAGATGCACTTCTTGCCTTGAAAATGTCTGTTAAGATTACAATTAATGTAGCACTAGACCAAAGCAGCAATTCAGTTTTACAATGCAAATTCTTCAGTAATGCTAACAAATTGAATATAGGTTTCTAGAATAATTAGCATACTTACTTTCATATTCATACCAAATTTATTTTTTGTAGTTGGTATCTGTAGGAATGAAGTTACCTTTTTTCCTTTCTTTGATTCAGTAAATTCATAACTTAAATTTATACTAAACAATTCATAAATATCAGTTTATTTGTTATATTTACTATTAATGCCTGCTTTTTTTCCCTCTCTTTTTGTTTCTTATTTAGGTGCATGATTGCTGATGAGGTAAGTAATGTTCCTGTTGCTCTAACACCATTTTGCTTGTGTTAACACATCTCATGCAGAAGTGACTTTTTTTTGTTTGAGAGATGTGGGCAGAAAGGTTGGTAATGAAAGAAGCCCAATTCCTATGATATTCACTAGATATTCTGAAAATATCTAAATGAGGAAAAAAAAAAGAAACCTGACATAAATTTAAAAGAATCTTTGAGAAAACTTAGGAAGTTACTTTTAAATGTATTTAAGTAGGTTAAATCTCCTGTATTGTTAAATCTTCAAAATATTAACTCAGTTGATTTTTTTTTTTTTAATTTTTTTTAGCACTTTATAGTTGCATAGCTAGCTACTTTTAATGGATTAGGAGACATTTCTGGCCCAGAGAGGTGGATTTTGAACAGATATGCCTTCCAAAGATGAATTTTCTTAAATGCACTGATCAAGAAGCAATAGTGAAATTTGAAAATTTATATTTTGTTCTATGATAAGGAAATTTGAGTCCAGCATTTCTTCCCACAGGTAGAATATTTTTGTAGTAGAGTATAACGTCCTTCATGTGTTGTTAGTATGAAACCTTACTGAAAAAGAGGTAATGTTTGGGGATTTATATAGTCTCCCAATTCTAATTTGGGTTTTCGTGAAACACTAGGAGGGAGAAGGAGAGAGAGAAAGAGATGGATTACTAGGATTAAAGCATCTCATACTATAAAAATCTCATTACAGCTGGAGATAAACTATCCTGGCATAGAATGTGAAATTTCTGGAAACTGTGGAGAACACAAAAGCATTCAGGGGAAGAGAAAATGGAAGCTTGGGAAAAATCGAAATACCAGCAGTAGCTATTTGTTTATTAAAACAAAGTTTCTTATTTCCTTCCTTGAATGAGAAAATAAACTGTGTATAATTATGTTAGCAATAAAAAGTCCTGCAAGATACACATTATTTACTTCGGAATAAATATATTTTGTAGTGACAATAGGTCTGGCACTGGAGGAAGTATTATGCAGTGGTGTCTATCTTGTGCTTGTTGACGTATCTCTAAAATAAGAAGAAAATGTTGGTAAAGGAAAACATCAGTATTATGAACTTGTATACAGAAAGAAGTTACATATGCGAACAAGAGATCATATAATTACTGTACATATACCTGCATTATGTAATTATGTAAGGATTAAAGCACAATAATAATAGTATCTTTTTGAAAGCTATTCTAAAAATATGTTGCCATTCTTTCTTGAGGTGGGGACAGGCATTTTCCCCCAAAATTTCAGATTTTCCGTGTCATCCATTTCCATGACTGAGAAAGTTGTGTTTAAATCAAACAACAACACCATAGCATATTCAGTGGTTTTTCTTGTCTCTCACAGTCTTGTCTTCTTACAATCTAGACTGGTGATCAGCTATATGGGATTAAGATTCAGTTACGGGTGTGCTCCTACCAAGACACCTGCCTTTTATTCCCTGCTCATTTCAACTCAGTTGCCTGGATCATCACCAGTGACTGTGCAGTCTGAGCTATGGCAACAAAACAAAAATGGATGTTTTTGTGTTTTTTTTTTTTTTATTACTTGTATTTGTTTTCAGCTGGCTGAAGCAGTACTGGTGACACAAGGCGGGCTTGCAGGAAAATTTTAATGAAAACTTGGCAGTTTTCATTAAAAACTTAGTTTCACGGTAGTTCTCTGATTATTTTTCTTTCTAGTAATAGTAGAAATATTCATTATTTTCTTCTATACCTGGGAAATCTCGTGATATCATTACATCAGTCCATTTAAACTCAATACTAAGGATATAAGTAAATTGTTCTTTTATGTCTGTACCATGAGTAGTTAGATAGCAGCAAATCAACTCAAATATCCACTGGACTCTCTAGAAAACCTGAACAGAATATTTTAAGGCCAGTCTGTGCTTTAGTGCTTAACAGGAGTCTGGAACTATCCCTTGCCGTGTGAATAAGTAGAGAAAATAGCTGCATTCTTTGATTAAAATCTTGAGGGTTTTATTTTTTAAACAAAACCCTTAATTCTGGCTCTTTATATTAATCTGTTGCTATTCATATTCATAACTCATTAGATGGGACCGTTCCTACTTTGACAATATGAAGCAAGTACTTTCTTGTTAAATATATGTCTATGTATTGTATCTTTACCCTTCACCTTGTCTGTAAATCTGAATTCTCCACTAGGTGGACTTCCTCTTCTGTGTTACAGAATAAAAAGAAATTATTAGCTTCAGTGAATGAAAGCAGTAGTTTCCTTTTGTTGACCTACTGAGTCAAAAGCAGTGTTCTTCATATAGATCTTCCTTTGTTCTTCAGTTGCCTGTGCAACTTAGGACAAAGTTGTTCTTTTTATGTTAAGACGACATCCCATACTTTTCTTTCCTTTGCATGGTCTTTTTAAAATGTTTTCGGTAGCATAACAAGTTAGAGTTTGATCTTTATAGTCTACCCTACTAAGGCCCTGAACAGAAAATCTTCTGAAATGAATGGAAATGCTTCTTTTAGCTTTAATGGGCTAACGAGATATCACATATGTATGAATCCATTTAAAGAGAAGCATATTCTTTCATAAAAGATGATCTGTGGTAACAAATTGACAATGAAATAGATACTATGTAACTAGCTCGTTGGCTTTGTTTCCTTTATATGGTTCTGGTTTTGCAAAATATTTTTGTCTCTTCTGAATGGAATATGCTTTCTGAGCAGAGACTTCTATTTTTAATTTTTTTTTCTTTTCTTTTCCCAGATGGGGCTAGGTAAAACAATTCAAGCAATTGCCATTTCATATTACTATAAAAATGAATGGCCTCTCTTAATTGTAGTGCCCTCATCTCTGAGATACCCTTGGGTTGATGAGATGGAGAAGTGGATTCCAGAGCTCTCCCCAGACGATATTAGCATCATTCAGAACAAAACTGATACTGGGTGAGTAAAGTTCGTTATTCCTCTATAGAAAGGCTTGTTCAACACCCCCTGCTCAAGCAAGACCACCTGGAGCTGGTTGCCCAGGACTGTGTCCAGGTGGTTTTTAAATATCTCCAAGGATGGAGACCCCACAACCTCTCTGGGCAACTGTTTCGGTGCTCGGTCACCCCTGCAGTGAAAAACAGCATTTCCTGATGTTTGGAGGGAACCTCTTGTGTTTCAGTTTGTGCCCATTGCCTCCGGTCCTGTCACTGGACACGACAGAAAGGACCATGGCTGCATCCTTTTTGCCCTCTCCCTTCAGGTATTTGTATACATTAATAAGATCCCTCCCTGAGCCTTCTCATCGCTAGGCTAAACAGTCTCAGTCAGCCTTTGCTCGTAGGAGAGGTTCTCCAGTCCCTTAATCATCTTCATGGCCCTTCCTTGTACTCTTTCCAGTACATTAATGTCTCTCTTGCACTGAGGAGCCCAGAGCTGGACACAGCACTCTAGGTGTGGTCTCACCAGTGCTGAGTACAGGGGAAGGATGACCTCCCTCAATCTGCTGGTAATACTCTGTCTAATGCAGATGAGGATACCAGCCACCTTCTTTGCTGCAAAGGCACAATGCTGGCTCATATTCAACTTGATGTCCACCAGGATCCCCAGGTCCTTTTCTGCTAAGCTACTTTCCAGCTGGGTGGCCCCCAGTATATGTTTGTGCACGGGTTTGTTCCTCCACAGAGGCAGGACTGTGCACTTGTTGAACTTCATGAGGTTCCTGTCAGCACATTTCTCCAACCTCACAATGTCCCTCTGGATGGCAGCATGACCCTCTGGTGTACCAAGCACTCCTCCCAGTTTTGTGTTATTATATTATGGTAGTTACTCATCTCCTTTGAAGTTGAGAGGTCTGGTTTTTGCAAAGTAGCAACTGCGTGTCTGCTGAAAATTGTGTTACTTCAGTGTGTCTCGAACATACAGTCATTTCTCTGATGAATTAGCTTGTATTCATTAGCTTCTGTAAAACATTCTGAACGTATTTTTTGAATGCTTCTGGTATACATTACAAAATAAGGAAGTAATTACTGTTGAAATTCTATTTAGCGCACTGAGAAAATTTATAAGTTAAAATAAGTATTCTCTAAATAACTGAAAAGGTCATCATGACCTAGGCTTTCTATCTTTAGGCTTAATAGCATGAATTCATCAAAGAGAGACTACAAGTCTCGTGTGTTATTAGAATAACTCCCCTATTACACCCAATTGCAAGGGTATTTTTTTAGGCTGCTTTACTGTAAATGACTAGGCTGATTTCCTGATAACATCTAGATGTTGTTCTAAAACTTCTGGATAAGGGAGACTGGTCTTCATGTTGTCTGGGGAGTATCAGAAAGTGACTTGAGCGCCAAGATGTGCATGTGAGACGATAGCTTGGAACCTTCCTTGTGATAACCAGAGAAACCCAACTGAAAATGTATTTTAAAAGCTTTTCAAGGGGTAGTTGCTACTGATAGTCAAGATTTAAGTTTATCATAGGAAAGTGGGAACTAAAATAAGGATCCAATGAACCTTTTGGGTTTGGTTTTTTTTAAGCTATTTAACAAAAATGCACACAAACTTAATGCTTATAGTGCTGAATGCAGAAAAGAGAAATGTGGAGTAAGGGAGATGACGGCAAAAGTAAATGGCAAACAGAATTCTGTTCATTTCGTCTTTCAAGGTTCTTAAAAGGAGTAGACCTTAACCATTATCACTTTTATTCAACAACAAGGGAAGAGGAAAACTTGGGTTTCTGCTTGTTTAACTCCCAGGAGGCTTCCTAGATATAAGTGAGGTAGCTGTTGAACTCTTTAATATTTTAATATTCAAAAGTGTTATATGTATTTGCAAGAAAATGCAAATGTAAAAATACAGCTGCCAAACTTGCTTTAACATTTTGTTAAATTCTGCTTCCGTATGTTCAGCTTTGATTTCTCTCAGTTCAATACTTTGCTTTTCTTCAAAACTTCAGCGATGGAATTTACTGCTTGAATGTTGCTTAACTTCTTAATTTAAACAGGTTAACATATACTTAGGCATCAATTTAGGTTCTTCTAATTTCTAACTAAATTTGATATTGGATGTTTCTTGAATAAATTGGTTCCCTTAAGAATGAATAATTTTATTTGTAACTTTTTTTATCCACCTTTCACAAATGGGTGGGGAAAATTCTTGTTTTCCTGCTTACAACATTTATCTATACAGTAACAGCTAGAGTCTGTAGTGCATTGACCACAGTGCCAGTACTCTAACCACTGCTGCTTCTTGTATATCCAGAAGCATGAATGTGCACATGCACATACTTTTTTCCTCTTAAATACTCAAGGAAACTTCAGCTTAGTTGGTTTTTTGGTCTATTGCTACTGGAGAACAAATAAAAATCACGCCAGCAGAGCAGTAGTCTCTGACAGATGGGTGGGCCAGCTATGACTCTCATTCTGGGGACTTGTTTGTCTAACAACTTTAAGAGTTCCTGTGCTTAAAGGCTCCTGAAGGGCCACAGTGCTCTCCAGTGATTTTAAAATCAGTTCGTGCCTTGGACCTATATATGTCTTTAAATTTATTGTAAGAAGTTCCTTCCCGACTATATACTAATTTTTCATCTCGTGCCTTGTTGATTCCCTTCTTTCAAGGTTTTTTTCCCTTCATATTCTGTTCGAGGGGAAAAAAGATGGATAGACGGCTCTGATATAAATGTTTTTTTCAGGCAGTGAGGTTCAGCCCAGACTATAGAACCATAGAATCGTTATGGTTGGAAGAGACCTCAAAGATCATCAAGTCCAACCTTCAACCCAATGTCACCATGCCCACTAAACCATGTCTCGAAACGCCACATCTAAACGTTTGTTGAACACCTCCAGGGATGGTGAGTCCTCCACCTCCCTGGGGAGCCTGTTCCAGTGCTTAACGACTTTTACAGTACCCAGATACTCAGAGACAGTTTAGTTACTCGTTTTAGGCTGCTGGTAAGGTGACTGTTTGTACACAGAGCAGTAGATAGCTTGCATAGAGACATTATTACGTCAGGTGTTTGGGCGCTGTTTACATAGAGTGCTCATAACGATCTGACTTTGGTGTGTAACTTTTTATCCAGAAAGTGGATTTGACCCATGCAATACTCCTGGAAAGGAGCACAAGTTGAAGCAATGCAACCTGATAAATGAACTTCCTTTTAAATGCAATGTATGTCTTCTGATAATGGTTATGAAATATGTGTGATTTGTAAGTGTGAAATGCTAGAATGTTTTAAACACCAAAAGCTGTTGTTATTAGCCTGACAGCCCACTACTTAATCAATCCAAAAAGTGTCATACATACCTTCTTTAAAAAAATTAATTTGGTATAATTCCTTTGCTATATTAATTTTCCTACCATTAAAATTTACTAAGAAAACTTCTGGATTATCTCTTTTAGGAATATATCAACCAGCAAAGTAACGATTCTGGGATATGGCCTGTTAACTTCTGATGCACAGACTTTAATAGACGCTTTGTACAAGCAGAACTTTAAGGTCGTTGTGATTGATGAATCACACTATATGAAGTCCAGAAATGCCACCCGCAGCAAGATTTTGTTGCCAATTGTGCAGAAAGCTCTTAGAGCTATTCTTCTTACTGGAACTCCTGCTCTAGGAAGACCTGAAGAGGTACTTAATGTATTGTGTTTTGGGTTTTTTGTGTTGTGGTTTTGTTTTTTTTTAAGAATGGTATCAGTAAGAAATTAACAATTTTGTAATTTTCTTTAATATATATAATTACATGCATTACAACATCAAACTGCACTAGCTGCATTAGGAAGCACAAGTATAAGAAACTAAAGCAATGTCTTTTAGTTTGACTTGATTATATTGATGATTTACCAACTTGTTTCAAGATCATGCACAGGTGACTTGAGATAGTGTGTCCTATAAGAAATTAATCTCACATGTAACAGACTGACAGTTGGGTGAAATAGAAAATTGAAAAGCCTAAGTAGAGAACTATTTGTTTCTACTGGGTAGGAGAGTCCTTGGTAGACAAGAAGTTGTATTAAATCTTCTACTTCATCTGATATAGGAAGTCCTTTGTTTATCGCTGGTCTTTTGAATATTCCTAATGTTCACTTGTATTGCATAAGTGGAAAAAATATATCCTGTGCTTGTTGCAGTCCAGAAAGACAAATTTTCCTTAGAAGGGAGTTCAATTTATGCAGCTGGGGAGGAGCAGAGAGGAAACCGAAAACCACTTGGGTTTTATACTGAACACAAGAAAACTGCCTTTATTTATCAAATGTAGAAATAAATGGAATCTCAGAGCTGATTTGTATCCAGGGAACTTATAAGGGTTATCTAAATAGTACTTTACACTTTAGAGTTTCTTGTTGTGTAAATAGAACTTACGCCAAGACCCTTTAATTTAATTTGTTCAGAGAGGGTGTAACTTGAGAAAGATATCCAGTGTATGAAAAAAGAAAAAAAAGAACTTGGTGTATTATAAGTGTTTGCTTAAAACTTTAAACCAAGTATATTTATATCTGTGGGTGTGGGTAATTGTGAAACTTCCTGCACATGTACCAAAGACATTGCAACCAACCCTGGAAGAAGAACTAAACTTAGAAAGTGTTACACGTTTATACAGTGGATTGATACCAAGACCAGTAAGCAGCCTTGCTAAAGGCCTTGAATGGAAATTCCACACAAGCTGTCCTTGATCACAGTAATGGGGTCAAAATTCATGACCAAATGGAAAACAATTTGAGACATTTTTTTATAGTGATGCTGAAGTTCTGTCATGGCTTATAAGGCAGAGTATAAAGACCATTATGTCTCTCTAATCGGTTTTGTGTCATAGGCAGAATCTTTCTATGAAGTCTTCAAATGGAATACATATAGAAAATGAAAAACATTATTCATTTATGTTTATGTACATTTATAGCAAATAATTACAGGCTGTTTCTTGTTTGGCCTAGATCTATGTCAAAATAGCAGCATTTCACTTAGGCAAATAAATTGGGTTTGTTTTTTTTTCTTAACACTGCTTTTCAATTCTCCAACTGCTGTCTTGAAACCTATGAAGAACAAAATCAGGCTGTAGTAATTTTCTTTTTAGGAGAGGTCACTAGCATGTGATGCAGGAATATGAAAACTTAAATGGCAGAAGTGATAGTAGACTTATGAGGATAGCAGGGAAATGCGTTTAGGAGAGAGCCTTCTGTATTACTCTCTGTCTCTATGCTACCCCTGCTACCTGTCAAAGTGTGTCTTGGATCTAGTAGTGATCTTTGAATCCAGAAAGCTTTGACAGTAAAACATCTTGTAAAGTAGGATTGTTTCCAGCTAAGGTTGTCTAAACTGCTATTTACCTTCTGTTACTCAACTGGGAAGAAAGGCATGAAATTTCTGGTCTGTATTGACATTGTCTGGTTTTTTGGAAGTAAAACTTAAGAATGAGTAGTGGTTTTGTGTATTTTAAGAAGCAAACTATTCATGGAATTACCTGCACTGAAGCTTTGCAGAAGATCATGTACCTGGCAAATGACAAAAATTGTACTTTTAGGAATAACATCTTCTCGTCTGTGTTTTCTTGTTCAGGATAAATCTTTTCCAAGTTGTCAGCACTGTGTTATGGTGTTCAGGGTGCTCTGCTCTTTGAGGGTTTCCCACAACTGTCCCGTCTCAAGGCACATGCATACTCCTATGGAATGTCTTTTGCATGTGTGCCAAGCTGTGTATTTTTTGTGCAACTGTTGAATGCAAACTTAACACGGTGATCATGTAATAATTATTTCTGAATAGTCTTACATTTACAGGTGAGTTCTCACTGTTGCTGTTTTTTTTTATACAGCTTTTCATGCAGATTGAGGCACTGTTTCCAAGAAGATTTGGAACTTGGACTGAATATGCCAAAAAATACTGCAATGCTCGTGTCAGGTATTACTGTACTTGCTAATTTATTTTCCCATGAGTGTCTTTGATTTTCTTGTCATGCGAAGTGAGAGAATCTGTGTGTAGTACCTCTATTGGTGTATCTTGTCATCTTACTTGGAAACCCAGGGTCAGATACTATCTCCTCCATCAAAGAGGACTGGGAGAAGGATTAAATTTACAGGAGAATTTGAGGACAAAATTCAAAGCTGTTAGAGTTTGAAATAGAGTTTAAGTGGCAGCATTCTGTTAAGTAAAATAATGTACAAATTTACTGTCATTAGTATGAGGTGTATAGCTTTTTACCTTTAAAGCTGGAGTTTCTGACTCTAAATCTTATGCTTGTATTATGTAATAATTTGCATCTCTCTTTATTATGGGATTCAGTCTTTTTGCTATCCCACCATACTTGCGTGGAAAAAAAAAAATCCAATACTTGTCTCTGTATTTTACAGATTGACTGAGTAAAAGTAAAGGTATAAAACTCCCAAAGCATAGTGATGTGTCTGTAATTCTGTTTGAGGGATCAAATACAGGCATTATAAGTTCTTATCCATCACCTTGCTTCCAATTTGCTAGGTAACATTGCTCATTACACATTTTTCCACACATGTGCCTAATGAATTTTAACCCATCTTTATCCCTTGCATCTTTCATGAATTTTCATGTTTCATGTGCTTAAAATTATTAACTTCAGGAGGATTCATTTCCTTCTGACTTGCTTCCCTCAGCTTTAGTGTAATGATCTCTTTCTCTGGCTATGTTCTAAAATAGGAGCGGATAGAAGAAGCTCTGATTTTAAATGCTTAGTTTTACCCATCTGGGTCTATGTTACAATATGGAATGAAAGAAGTTATGAGAAGGGAAGAACCTTTAAAAAATTTCTTAGCTAAAAAATTCCTGATCTACAACTTTGCATGTATTCAAAGCAATAGATTTTGTCAGCTAAATTGGCTAGCACTTAGATTTAATTTTTACAGTAATAATTACATGGTTTCATTTTCATATAACTTGTTTTTCTCCCTCCAGCATATGCATTTTATCAGCATTTAACTTCAAATAACATGGAAGAGTGCTGTCTAATTTTCAGACAGAGAAATGCTATTTTCTCCATGGTGTTTTGACTGAATGCATCTGTAATTTTCACACCACAAGTGTGCGTGGGTACAGTATGGTTAGCTACTCAATCATAGATCATTATCTTATTTTTGGAATACCGTAAATGTAATAAAAATCAAGTTTAGGGTTTGGCAAGCTTTCAGTAAATAACTTTGTCTTCATGACTTGGCTGTAACAAAACATTCTGTGGTAATAAACTTGATAGGATTATTTTACGCAGCACTTTCTGTGAAAATGTTGCAGGTTTTTTTTACTGAGGTATTCATAGACACCTGTTTCTAAAGATGAGGTCCAAAGTATGTCTGTGAGGTTTTGCCTGCCATTTCTTTTATATCCCCAATTCTCAAGCTGGAGGGAGGAAACCTTTCTAAGGACAGCCATCTAAATAGGCCAAAGAAGGAATATGAGCAAAAGATGTTGCTGTCTTCCATCTACGTAGCATTCTGAGTGTGTAATGCCAATCCTTCAGGAGTGTAGAAGTGAGTCCCTAAGCTCCTTTTCCAAATGATTATAGGCAGCCAACTAGAATTGATAAGCTCAGTAAGGTTTAAAAATCTCTAAATGATGGGTTTTAAAAAAAAAAAATACTGGTAAAATTATGGTAAAATTACGTGCTTGCAACATACTCTCCTGGCCTTGGAAAATGCTGCCTGGGCTTTTCTCCAAAGGCAGCAAAATCTGTCATGCTTGTGTCATCTCTCAGCAATGTTGACAGAGAAAAACTGCTGTTCCTGTTGCAACACTTCCTTAAAAACAACAAAGCAAAGAAAGAACAAGGAAGACTACGTAAAAAAATTCTTTCTCTTTTCAACCTTTAGCCTTTTAACCTTAAACCTACTTCCTCTATTTAACCTTGCTTGTTAAATAGTATTACATTTAAAGATGGGACCTTAAGCTTTAAATCCTGTGTCTGTAACTAGGAGGGAATCCTCAGAGAGGGAAACAAAGGAATATTAATGGTGATATTTGCAGCTTACATGATAGCTTCCCTGTCAGGTGTTCCCCTCTGTAATATAATAAAGAGCATTCTTATGCTGGTATATTCTTATTAGTCCATTGAAACAAGAGTTATAAAATCATACCTGAAACTTCTGCTTTCTGTAGAAAAGGAGATATAGTTGGGATGATATAGAGGACTGTATGCATCTGATGGGTAATAATGACTGCAGGCAGCAGTATCTGGGAAGTTGAAACAGCTCTGACTTTAGCATTGGAAGGGATCAGAGAGAAAGCAACCACCTCTCTAGCGTAAACGTGAACACCAAGTGTTGTTATCCAGCATGCTTTCGTATCTAGTAGTGCATTTTAAAATTACGTACTGAAGGTTTCTGTTGAATTTGGAAGAGCTAGTTTTTACCGTCAGTGTTGATTTTTCATTTTCAGGTTTTTTGGTAAAAGAACTCAATGGGACTGTAGAGGAGCTTCAAATTTAGAAGAACTACATCAACTTTTAAGTGAAATAATGATCAGAAGACTGAAGAATGATGTTCTAACTCAGTTGCCTCCCAAAGTTAGGCAACGTATTCCATTTGACCTCCCACAAGCTGCAGCTAAGGTAAATTTTCCACTTTTGCTAAAAACACATTTGTTAGTAAATAGTAATATCTATGTATTCATATGTATGCATGTGTATTATATGTGGTTACAAAGAATGTGTGAATATATAGCATGGCATCTGTGTTACTCTTTTTAAAATATAAAATGAAGTACATGAATATAGCAATTTTTTGGCATCAGATAATGATAAAATTTGCTCTATTTTTAGTGCAATCTTCTTCCTTTCCCTTAGATTTTGAAACTGACAGTTACTTTTAGCCAAATTTGACAGAGTTCTCAAAAGTACTCTGTTCCTAAATGTTTCGTGCTTGAAATGTACATCTTGAGTTAAAACATGCTTTGTACTATATACCTAACCACTGATCTCTTCTGCCAATTAGAATTTGAATACCATTTTTGCAGAGTGGGAGAAATTAATGAGAAATCTGAATTCAGATGCCACTGAAAGCCGCTTTTCTGAGGTCATGAATCTAATCACACGCATGTATAAAGAAACAGCCATTGCCAAGGTAAGCGTGGACGTCTCTTCTGAATATATTTAAAATACCCATTGTGTTTTTAACTTAATAAAATTAGTTGTGTTGGCCTGAATACTAGATGAGGTTGGTTGGTTTGTTGTCTAATGAGTAGGTGGAGAAACACTCTCTTTTTCCCTATGGAATAGGCTGAACCTGATTATAATGATCTGAGCTAAGTGTTAAAACTGTTGCTGATTAGATATCCACCAAGCTGGCTGAGAGTGTCCAGACATAGTCTCCCAATAGCACTAAATGCACCTCACAGACTTCGGGCTATACCGAAGGTGGGTACTTCAGGGACATACCTGTGTGCCAGCAGCTGCTGCAGCTGACCTGGGATAGTGCTGGTGCAGCCCTTACCCAGATTGCATTCTCTGAGTACCAGTTCTCCCCATGGATAAACATGGAAGAACTGTCCCCTCTAGCTGGTTTCTTTCTGGTTTATCAAATGGGATCCCATGTTCTGTATTTCCTCCTACAGTACTGTAGCTTAAGATGTATGGAACAACAAGTTAATAACCAAAATCTTTTGCATGCCTACTTTTTACCCTGCTATCAGGCTTCATTATGCCAACCTATTTTTAGAAAAGGATAGGAAAAAAAAAAAGTTCTGCGGGCTGCTGGAGCAGTAAGAATTGAGAATCTGACCAATTCCTTCAAATTTTTTCTTTCATCTTAAAAATATCACTGTGGTTTTGTTGCTATTTCTTCATCACTTTTCTAGTCCCTCCCCTCTGGTAATCCATTATCAAACAGGAAGCTGAAAGGCAGAAAAGAGAGGAAAAAAAAGAAATCTGAGGACTACTGCAGTGGGTATTGCATTAACCATTGATCACTGATAAATTTTATTATTTACTGTCATCATTACTTTAATAGTTTTTGTAAAAGATACTGAAAATTATATTTGACACAAAAGAATTCTGTGAATGTTTATGTAGAGCAATATTTTATGATGACAGTATCATGAAAGTATCAAAATTATTCTTTCAGTTTTGATATATGGCTCTATGTGGGTGCAGATGCCGAAGTTCTGATTAAACAATACCTTGTCCATTTGAAATATGTTTGGGCAGGAATCAGTTTTGGTTTTTTAAAATATGACTTAAAACATCAGATAATGATGTTGTAACTAAAAGGGCTTTTCTCTACATCTTAATCTGGAAGAAGTGCCAGGTAATTATGTGATCTTTTGAGGATAGATGTGGGGTTTTTTCTCTGAAGGAAAGAGATAGGTTTCTCAAAGACATAAAGTTGTGACTTTTTTAAACAGTTAATTTGAATAGTTTTATACTCACAATGTGAGTGCTTGATAAATTCTTAAATGGATAACAGGAAGTATGGAAATTTACCTTTTTGTATTACAAGAAATTGAAAGACATTAAAAACTGTCTTTTTGAACATTTTCTATGTCTGACTAATGAAAACGCACTCTCTTACTCCAGGCAGGAGCCGTAAAGGACTATATCAAAATGATGCTTGAAAATGACAAACTGAAATTTCTGGTTTTTGCTCATCACTTAAGCATGCTTCAAGCCTGTACAGAGGCCGTTATAGAAAGTAAGGTAATGATTTAACAAATGTGCGCACAAATTTAACTTCAGACTTTACAAATGCGTATTATTATGGATTTTAAGTACATACAGATCCGTGCCACTAGATTAAAAGGGATCATGTGGTTTTGAAGAACTGTTTTGTATTTAAGGATAATGTAAACACTTGTATCTGGTATGATACTTTATTATTATTGAATCAATGTTGTAGGTAGTCGTTTCCCAAATTTTTCTACCGATGTGCTTCTGACTACTTTTTTTTTTTTTTAATGGAACACTTGTCTTGCCTGATAATTCAAAGCAGTAAAAATGTTTGCAAACAACCTTTGTATTATTTTGATCATGGACTCTCAACCATTGCTAGGGAGTGTTGGCTAACTTTGCTATTTTATATTTTTATTATTTTGCAAAGGCTTGGAATTTTAATAAATCATGTCAGGGAAATTACAGATTCTTCTGCAGAGTGTTCCATTTTAAGATCCTATGTTCTTCTGTCTTCTTTTGTAAACAAGGAATACTAAGTCTACACTTATCTAGATAGAGGCTTAATTGTAAATCAAAGGGCAAAAGAGTACTGATGTATCCCTATACCCATGACAGGAACAGAACAGATGTTTTCATATTTTTATTGGGGGACAGAGGATGATTTGATCTAAAAATGGACACTGACAATGTCATTTTGTCTCTACTATGATATTTTATAGGTTCGCTACATACGAATAGATGGAAGTGTTCCTTCCGCAGAAAGAATACATCTTGTTAATCGGTTTCAGAAGGATCCTGATACCCGGGTTGCTATTTTGAGTATTCAGGCAGCTGGTCAGGTAGGACAAAAAAAATATGTGAAATAAGAAACCTGAAGAATATAAGTGCTCTAAGTCATTGGTGACTGAAATGATTTACTGAAGGCAACTTCATGCAGTATGTCTTTTGTAGTCTCATGTATATTTTTTTTTTTTGCACCAATCATGTTAACTGTTTTAAGCCTCTATTGAAATTACTTGAGCAAAATCAACATAAGCAGCAGCATCTCATTCTTGGAACAATTAGTAAAAACTCCCTTTCTCTAAAAGTACCGGATTAATGAGAAATAAATATTACTTCCATAATGAAAAGCAGTATGCAGTCTTTGCACTATATTGAAGTATTTTTTTGAATCTTAACTCATATCTATCTGAGGCCCATGGAAGAAATAGTGTAATAAGCCCATCTGCTATTGAGGTGGTCCCTCTTATTTCCATATAAAAATGTCCTGTACAACCTTTAGCTTTCTTTTACTTCAGATATTCAGTTGTTTGTGTGTGGAATCTTTTTTCTAAAATGCATCTACTTAACTTTGTTTAGGGTTTAACTTTTACTGCTGCTACTCATGTAGTGTTTGCTGAATTATATTGGGATCCAGGCCATATTAAGCAAGCAGAAGACAGAGCACACCGAATTGGACAGTGCAGTTCTGTGAATATTCACTTCCTTATTGCAAAAGGAACAATGGATACTCTTATGTGGGCAATGCTGAATCGCAAGGTATGTGTGGAATAGAACCAAATAATCAAGAACTCACTATGGTTAAGATAGCACTTAAGTGCATGTGCCAAATGACGTTCTTGCTTATCTGAAGCACTCTCCTGCTATAAGACAAACTGATACACCTAGGATTGCTAGTCATCAAAATCACAGAATGGTCGGGGTTGGAAGGGACCTCTGGAAGTCATCCAGTCCAACCCTCCCTGCCGGAGCAGGGTCACCTACAGCAGGTCGCACAGGATCATGCCCAGGTGGGTTTTGAATGTCTGCAGAGAAGGAGACTCCACAGCCTCTCTGGGCAGCCTGTTCCAGTGTTCTGCCACCTTCAAAGTAGAGAAGTTCTTCCTCCAGTTCAGATGGAACTTCCTGAGTTTCAGTTTGTGCCCGTTGCCCCTTAACCTGTCGCTGGGCATCACTGAAAGGAGTCTGGCCCCATCCTCTTGACATCTACCCTTAAGGTATTTATAAGCATGGATGAGATCCCCTCTCAGTCTTCTCTTCTCCAGGCTGAACAGCCCCAGTTCCCTCAGCCTTTCCTCCTAAGGGAGATGCTCCAGTCCCCTCATCATCTTCGTTGCCCTCCACTGGACTCTCTCCAGTAGTTCCTTGTCTTTCTTGAACTGGGGAGCCCGGAACTGGACACAGTACTCCAGATGTGTTCATGTCTGTTCTGCATTAGTCTCTTCCAGCTTTTTGCTCTCCATTTAAGATCCAAAGATAAATGAGACTCTTTGCCAAGATGAATGGGATCGTTCCCATCTACAGAACATCATTGTTTTATCTTCTAGCTTTTTATTGCTCTGGTTGTTCAGTTTACAGCTTCAAGGTTTTCTGCTCACTTATAACAGCTAGAGTTTGTTGTGGGTTGTTTTGGATTTTTTGGGGTTTTGTTTTTTGTTTTGTTTTGTGTTTAATTGGATGAATGTTGTGCCTTAACTAAACTTGAGAGGCAGAAGCATTCTCAAATAATTCTTCAGTAGACCCAAGATTACAGTAATCTTATCTTCTGTTGCCATTTTGCTCAAGTATTACCCAGTGCTTGTTCAGAAGAGTAGTTCCATTCTACTGTCTTTCCTTACTTGGAAGATCTTTGACAGTTCACAGGACTAAGAAAAATAATTTGACTGTTTTGCTTTTGTGACCTTTTTGTAGCCTTTGATACCATTCATTAGTGTCCTGTTTTGATAACTGAGGTGTGTTAGTGTTCTGTCAGCTCTTGTTTTCTGACATTTCCAGAAGTGTCAACATAGAAAGAACTGCCTTTTAAAGTCTAGTTGTCAGAATCATTTGAGATTGTGGTTACACAGGATTTATTCTGATGCAAATGCCAGCTTATGGTTGTTCCTGCGTTTGGCTTCCCCTGTGTCATAGTGATTCAATTGTTTGTGTCCATATAGTTATTGTATTGAGAAACTGATAACCAATTTTTTGCCAATATATTCCTCTCCTGATAGTCACAGCTTAAAGAATCTAGGTACTGCAAACTCTACTTGACATTCAGTTGAGGAATGGAATTCTGTATTCTAATTCCTGTAGGTACCTCTGGAAATATCTCAGTCAGTCTAGTACATGAAGAGTTTCCTTAAACATGATGCAAATGGGTCTCAGTAATTCACTAGCAATTTACCTTACAAGTTCTGTCACTAAACTGCTTCTTTCGCTTAATTCTGCCTTTGTTTGTCTCCACGTACCAAGCAAAATGGGTTAAGACTGTAAGAGATGTACACAATGTATATCTTCTCTTTTAACTTAAGTAAATACTGACATTTTGTATACAACTTCACAAGTCACAGTGTGCTAAATACACTACTTATTGTTATTCTTGCAGAAATGGATGCTGGAAGAGGAATAGTTTTAATTACTTAAGTTATTTTGAATGACTACAGTTTCTTACTTTGCAAATACTGAATTAAGTTTACGAGGAAAGCAAACTGAGTGGATATAGGTAAATATTTCTAACATGTGAATTCCTTGGAAACTTCATGCACGTTGTCTTTCTGCAGGCCAAAGTTACAGGCAGCACCTTGAATGGCAAGAAAGAGAAAATGCAGGCTGAAGAAGGTGATAAGGAGAAATGGGATTTTTTGAGCTTTGCTGAGACCTGGACCCCAAATGAAAGTCTAGAAGATACCAAAAATGAACTTTTATTTACACGTGTGAGACTTGAAACTTATGTTTTTCCTGCTTATTTAGTGTTTCCCCATTAGTAAAGTTTGCAGTGCATAGAAAGCTTAGTTGAACAATGGTTACAATTTTTTTAAATGAAAAAAAGTAATTTCCATTTAAAAGTTAGGTGAAGCTGGGAAAAGTGCTCTACTGGGTATAAATGTCATCTACAGGCTTCTGATGGATCTTTTGTTATGTTTAGGCGACTGACCCACTCTGAGTCAGATAAGACCAAGTAATTTCCATTTAAATTACATCTTTATTAGCTGTAATGAATTTGATTGGCTATTATCTTAAAAACAATACTAAAAGCCTTTCCTTGTAACAGGCATCATCAAAAAAGGCACATAGCAGACCAGTTCTGTGTATTCATTTTCTGATAGTGCTATTTGAGAATTTTCATGAGAATATTAAAAATATTTTTTACAAAACAGAAGAGGAATTTTGAATTGATTTTTCTGCTAGCTGCTTGTTCTTAAAGGAAGGTATCTTTTGTTTCCACCTCCAAAGTAAAAATAGTTCTTGTATTAGAGACTAATATTAAGGAGAAAAATAATAGTTTTAACAGCTTCTGATGCAATAATTGTAAGTGGGTTTACATATTTCTTTTCTCTTTCCTAGTTTGAAAAGGAAAGACAGCATGACATACGTTCTTTCTTTTCCCCAAAATCCTCCACTGAGAAGAAACGTAAAATATTTTCTGGTAATGAATCATTACATAATGAATCATTATGTAATGATTCAGAATTTTCTGAAGTCACAAAAGAAGACAATGCAGAGAAAAGCAATGAAAACCTGGATTCCACAAGAACAAGCCATGATACAATTTGTCATGAAAGTCCCTGTGTACATGAAGCTAAAAGAGCAAGAAGCATAAGCGAATCTACTCCAGTCAGCTCTAGTAAGAAAAAGAAAAAATCTTTGACTGGAAAAAAGCCCTCTTTGTTTTCAGAAAAAAGCAGTGAAGTCTTTCCTTGTGGCTTAAGTACTTCAGGCAAAAGTATGGCTTTAAATAAAGTTTGGCACTGTAGTGTTTGCACTTACAGTAATAGTGAATTGCTCCCTTACTGTGAAATGTGCAATTGCCCTCAAAGCAGTAATGGTAAGTAACGTGTACTGCAGAGAAAAATATACATTTTTTGTTTTGGTTGTGATTAGTTTCAGAAAATACAGTATTTTTGAATATATGACTATACACAAATCCAGGCAAAATATGAAGAATGGTGTCTTTACATGAACAGATACCTGTTAAGTGAGCCTTTTTAATTATGCTTTCCCTAAGGATCTTTTACAGGAGTCTACTTTAAATAAAATGGAAAATTCAGGTAAATGTTAACAGGATATAAATTCTGTGAGGAAGAATATATGCTCGGTTTTCTTTCCAGCAAATGTAGCTCTCCTTTTACTTGAGGTTTATGGTTATTCTGAATCCAATTAAATGGCAAACTTTTTCTCTGCCCCTCAAAAACTAAACAATGTGGTGTAGATGTTTTATTAACGTGGGTATATTTGTCGTGAGAGACATTACCTGGAAAATATGGCATTTCTTGTTCCAACAGGTTGGAGTAGATGTCTTTTATTAAATTTATTTAATCTGTCTGGAAACTTAATAGATTTTTTTTATAAATCTATCCCCATATTTGCCATTTCAGTTGCAAAGGAAGGAGTAAGGTTCTCTTTCTTTCTTTTATTTTCTTTTCTTTAAGTCTCTGTGCTTGTTCAAGTAAGGAAAACTTCCAAATATCACAGGTATAGATCAATGCCTGGAAAACTACTTTGTCTGTTTATGGTATACAATAGCTGTATATAATACAGAATAGCTAACTACATTATTTATTGCATATATTTTGACATTAAGCTGGATGCATGAAGTTGCATAAATGGAAGACTTTGTTCCATGTGTTTATTTTCCTGATATTAAAGTTAGCTCTAGTTTCCTATGTGATTGCACTGTAATAATATTAGAGAATAAAATGCAATTTCTCTGTATATCAATTACACATCTGGAGACAGGACTATGTGTTGATTAGGTACCTGTTTGTACAGGTAGCATAAATAATCGCTTTTCTTGTTTCTTCATCTACAGTTGAGAGAAATTGTGAAGCTCCCGTGAGCCAAACTGAGGAAGACGTGTCACAGGACTCCAGAAGAAATGAAGAGAGAGCGGAGCGCAACGCTGAAGACAGAAGAGAAGATTTTGGGGAAATGGTGACCCAGCAATCTGTTGAAGCTGGCGAACAGGAAACTGTTGAAATTGAAAGTGAAGAAAGTGAAAAAAAGTGTGGAGAAGGTAAAGTGGGACTCCTATGAAAGAATAATTATATCCCATTGTGAAACTGTATTAAATGCCTCTGGCATGAAAAATAACTTTTAAATAAAAACCTACACGTTTGAAGGATAGACAGAAGTACATGCACTAGCACATGACTTTCTTGTTTTAGCCTGGGATGTTTATTGAATTTTGATGATGGATAAACCCAGCCTTTCCATACAACTCCTGAAGCAATACAGAGTTTTTGGCTGACTTAAGAACTATGTCAAACTAGCAGCTGTGAACCTGTGTAGTTTTATTAAAACTTATGATGGCATTTAGTTGTGTTCAGGACAGCCACAGGCAAAACAGATGATAGGTAATTCAGGAGAAACAGAAAAATAAAATACAGAAATATCTTAATGGCCTGCTGGTTGAGCTGTGTATCTTATTATGCTGTTCTGGAATCAGATACATGTATAACATTATTTGTAACGTCCAAGTAGACGGAATCAAATGAATGAAGAAAAAAACTTTTCAATGTAAACATTTTTTCTCTTTATAGGAGAATTAGATAAATCAGACACATTTCAAATATATGATGGGCTTATGTTTTGTGCAAGCAGGAATACTGATAGAATTCACCTCTATACAAAGGTAAACCTGAAATATGCATGTTTATTATAATTTTAAAATTACACAGTAAAATATTGTCCTATGAAATGTGTATGTATACTTTTATTTGTTATGCTTTATATAAAAGACCTGTATTTTTGTAATAGCTGAAATGTACAAAAATTAGGTAGTTTATCATTCTAGTTCTTTTTCTCAGTGGAATTAAGGAATAATTCCCTAGATATAGCTTCTAACTCTTCTCTTAGCTTACAAAATGGGGCTAATACATTAGCTGTATGCTCAGATCATCTGTAGAAATGCTAGTGATAGTTGTTTAAGATTCCTTTTTTTTATTATAGTGTCATATTGCTAAATATTTTTAATAGAAGAACATTCAAAATGAAAATTAAAATGACAGTGAATCCTGACAGACTAAGTAAATAAAATATTGTCACCACATTTTCAGAAAGCTAGATATTGGTGCTGTGTATAAGTCAGTAACTTCCCGAATAAAACACACTACCATTAATCTGCAGTGGTAGTGGGAGGACAGAAACAAGCAGTTGGTAATTTTCCAGATCTTTTTTTCAAAGGGGAGTCAGGACTTTCCAATTCCTTCTTTTAAGGGATAGAAAAGTTCACTGGGAAGATTTCTTCAAAGCTACTGAATGAGTCAGTGTATTCAGGTGCAACTGCAAAGCATCACAAATAACTGAGTGTAAGTCTTTGAGATAATATATTTTTATTAGGCTAATACAGCTGGGAAAGTCAAAAAGAGTGTCCTCTAGTATCTGAAATCTTGTTTAATATACTTAAAATGTACACTGTTTCCTAGCTTCACACATTTTCTTCAAAGAAAAAGATGCATTTTGGGTGGTATTTGGCAAGTGTATATTGGTCTGGGTTGTTTTTTGCTTGGATTAGAGTTTCATTATGCCAGATACTTCACAAAATCTTTCTGCTGAACAATGAGACACCAGGGAATTCTGCTTTGATTCCTTGTCTCCAATGTTTGTGAATCATCACTAAGTTCCTGGGTCATGTGTACCCACTGGGACAACTTGTTCCTAAAAAATTAAGTGGAGGAGAACTTGTTCAGACATTTGGGGGGGGGGGGAAAGGTATAATAAACAATGCTCTATCTAGGATTCTGATTTTAAATTTTAATGAAGTGACATTCTGCAGTCTATAATCGTTCATTTCCCTTGGAAGTTCAGTCAAGAGGATTATAATTTCAGTTTCTAAATTTAAGGCAGTTTGTGTGTCTGAACTATTTGCTAAGAAAAAAATTCAGATATATTCTAAGTTAAAATTTTGACCCTGTTTACTTTTAGCTATACTAATGTGAATCATATTTCTTGCGTCTGTGCTGTTATCATACATCTGTGGCTTATGGTTTGTTTCTGGAAAAATCTTACCTTGAGGGACTGAGTTTAGTAGAAAGGCAGGATAATTCACTTGAAATGGAGAATTTTTTTTTCTAGATTGTGCTGTATTGTATTTGTAAACAAAACTGTTTGCTTGTCTAGGATGGTGAACCACTGAATCATAATTTCATTCCGTTGGACATACAGCTGGATAACTGGGAGGATTTGCCAGAGACTTTCCAGCATAAACGAAATCGTTCATCGGTAAGAGCAAATTCTACTGGCATGATGATACAATATTTAATACAGAGGGCTTTGACTTATTTTTTTAAAATAAATGCATAACACTTCCAGGCCTCGGGATCTAGGCATGGTTTCATCAATGCAAGCAGATCTTACAAATGTTGATGTGAATATAAATTATGCAGTCTGTTACTTTGGCAAATTATCGTGCCTCCTGTTAACATTTCAGTAGCTGGAATCAACCAGGCATCGCTTAATTTCTCATTTACAGGATTAGTAACTAATATTCATAAGTCAACAAAATGGCTTTTTAAAGGTTATGAATTAAATGGGGCACATGATGAATAAGAATGTGCTAGATTGTATCAGAGCTGCAGTTCTGAACAGGCCTCCACTCTCACTTCCTTCGGTCTTTTGAAATTTTCAAAGCAGTGTAGGGCACAGCTCCAGTGAGACATGTAGCTTCAGTTAATTCAGTAATAAAGATCACATTCATAATGGTGTTTGAGGAGAATATTAACATTGTAAACCCAAGTACTCAAGTAAGGAAACACAGAATTCAAATTGGATGTGCAATATTATTTGCTTAACATAGTTTTCTAACTGTTTTGTCCACTTAAAGAGAAATATAATTTGGAAAATCAGATTGTATTGTGTAGGAAAAAAACCTCATTCTTTTTAGTAGGTTCTCCAGCAAGGTTGGAACTTAAATTCGTAAGACAGATATCTGACTCATTCAACCAACAGTTTTGTGAAGCAGCTAATGAGTGGGTAACGCAAATGTTGCCAAAGGATTTCAAAGCTATCTGCTGGGCTGAAAAGACAAGTTTAAGAATCCCATGTTTTTGGGCAGGGAGCGGCATTGCCTTATGGAACTTCCTGTCCCTCAGCCTTCTCCTCTAGATTACAAGATCCTTATTAGTAAATGCTCCCAAAAAGGATCAAGGAAATGCCTTCTTGTTTCTGTTTCCATTATACCCTGCCATTTCATTGGCTTCCTTCTTGTTGCTCTGACTCGAAGGAAGTGAGACTCATCTGCACGCTTTTACATTTGCCATGTAAAAATACACCAAGGGGAAAAAGAAAATTATTGCCATGTTGTAATCTTGAAGTATGGAGGCTTGCTCCTGGACAAAGCTGAGGTCACAATGAAGTCCATACTGCACAAGGTATTTATTCTTCCCATAGTCTGTGTTCAGAAACAGCGTGATACTGACTGCTATAGGTAGTTGCAAGTCAGTGGGGAAGAGAGTGGAAAAATGGAATGGAAAAAAAAAGAAACACCACCAAGCCACTTGTTCAGTTGTCGTATTGTTACTCCTAGTTATTTTCTATTGTAGAAATGAGGGATGGGATGAAATAATTTTGCCCCTACACACATCTTAAAGCAAACAGACATGTTATGAATTCTGAATTCCTGTTTAGAATAGTTTTTTTCACTCACTTCCTCACTGTTCTGTGGTTATAGTTGTTGAGGAAATCCATTAATCATACCAGTCCTGTCAGTTTACAGCTTCAGAGGGATTTTTTTGTGGCTTCGCAGCCTGTAAAAAAACCATTAGAGTCAGTTACAGAAATTAAGTTCCTCTGAGACTCTTTATTTTATTGTACTTTCAAATTCTAAATGTAAAATAAGGAAAGGTGGTCAATATTGTGCTATAGTCTCCGTTTCGGTTCTGAAATACTTTGTTAAATAGTTTATCAGTTTTTCCTCAGGATCCTATGGTTGTGTCAATTTGAGATTACTGTGCAAGAAGATGAAAGGCAGGTTAAACTGCTCAAAACTCTTGTCCTTTGACTGTTTTGATGGTAAAGCATGTCTCTACTTGCTAGGCAGATCTTTACGTGCTGTGCTGAAATGCCACAGAAAAGAGGATAGCAGTATTGCCATAAAACCAGATGCATTATTAAGATAATTTGGTGATCTGATTTCTCATGTCATTAATTGCTAATTTACTGTAATAATTTTTACTACAAGTGTTTTTCTAACACTGCATTATTATAAAGGAATATAATAACCTCAAAGCAAGTACGTCAGTGATTCCATTAAAATTTTACAGTTGGAAAACATTTGTTGAGAAATAGACTAATACCTAGTTGAATTGAATAGCTGTTCCAGTTCACTGACCTGAGGGGCTGTACACTACGGATTGTTAATCCAGCGTTAAGCATGTATCAGAAGGTTAGAGGAAAGAAGAAAGGTTGTCTGTAAACCCAATTATAAATGCTGTTCAAGTAATGGGAGCGAACTTTCCTTTTCTGAGAGACCAGCTGCAACAGGAGGATGGCCGCTGTAAGAAGAGAACTCCTTTGCATGTCTGTGTTTCCCATCAGCAAAGTCTTGCTTACACAAGAGATGTTTACCTGAAGCTTTATCAAGAAACCCTTCTCCTATTGCTGTACCTGAGATTAGTAAAGGCCATTTCTGGCCTTATTTTCTACCTTCTGGATGAGCACACGTAGCAAAACCATTCCTGTAGTCAATGCTAAAGTTGGCAGAGTTCTTCAGCAGGTGAGGGTGGGGAGTTGCAGCTTGTATGAAGAGAGACTTGAATCTCTGCATCTCTGATCATACTAGCTGTTTTCATCCAGTTTTGAATGTGTTCATTCATAGCACTCTTTCACTGTGGTTAAACAGTTCTGTGTAATGTCTGTCATGCTGCTGACAATAGCATTCTCTACCAGATACTGAGGTTTGTGAAAGAATGGAGTCATCTAACAGCAATGAAACAGAAGATTGTCAGAAAAAGTGGTCAGATATTTTGCAGTCCTATTCATGCTGCAGAGGAGTTGTCTAAAAAGCAGTCAGTGGTCAGCAGCACGAAAAGGTATGCGGTTTTTAATTTTTCTTCTTCTTACTACTTGCTGCGGGAATTTGATATATTTAATGTAACTTTCAGTGGAAGGATGCTGGAGACCAAATTGGTCGTTTGATGATTGCTTGTCACATAGTGACAAACGTAAGCAACGGAGCACGTCAGTAAATCTGTTGAAATGGAAGTGTCTGCTTCCCTGTCCCCCACTGTGCCGTCTTCAGCAGCCGTTCTGGCCTCACTGCACTGCATGTTTGAACATCTGGAACTTGCCAGAGATTTTTGAGGAAAAATCCTGACCTCAGGGACTCAAGGGAAAAGTAAGGTCAAAGAATCTTGTTATTTTCCCCACCTGGAAGCAGAAAGAAATCGTTAGTTGCCATCAATGATGTTTCATTCATAATTCACAGCCTACTCCAACCCTTTCTGATACTCATTTTTTCTTTAACCAATTCTGTTCTCTGTGGAGAACAGAAGTTTCTCAAAACTGTTGTTTTCCTTGCTGGGTGTCACTGAAAAGGGCTAGTGTTTAATCCTTGTCAAAATCTAAATTTACCTTTTTTCCACTTTCTTTCCTTTTTCTGATATGCTGTCTTCCCTGACAGACGTTTGCAGCTTCGGTGTTGTCATTGCTGTCCACAAAACTTCTCACGCGTACAGGTTAACTCACCAAGTTGCCTCTGCAAACTATCTAAAACCTTTTTATTCCTCTTTGTCCCTACTGTTAAATTCTCCAGGGTGACTGTATTTTGGCTGTAGGCAAGAATTCAAGTAAATAAATAGAGTTTGTAATTCCAGTAATATAAGGAGAAGCAGCAGGTTAAGTGTTTCTTAACCTGTTGCTTGACTGTGTCCTTTCAAAAACCCTACCATAACCTACAGCAGCCTTCTAAGGTAGTATGTAGAGTTTGGTATATGTGTAGTACAGAGAAATGTACTTACAAGAAGTTGTCCGAATAGTGGGTTTTTGAAGAACGATCAGAGTGAAGAGATTTTAAAAGTTTTACTTAAGAGCAGTGGTGTTTTGCATGTTTTCACATTGAAATAAAGAAGTGAGTTCAAACATAACTAACGGAGCAAGGAGTCCTTCAGAGCTTGTAAAGCTTCCTGGATCATCTAGAACGTCAGTGAGACTTCACCTAACTGCAGCAAAATAGCTTTCAGATTTCACTGTCAGGCAATAGCAAATTGCTTTCACTTTTTTATTGTTATATACAAAACAACTTATCTGTTTGCTGGTTAGACCTGATTCTGGTTTTAGAAAAATATACTTTATTTAATATGGAAGTATTATGATAAAGTATGTTTTCCCAAGCTTTATTCATTTCTAATCCAGGAAATGAGGAATGTTTTAAGAGAATATGCCATACCAATCTTGCTGCAGCCAAGAGCGAATATTCCTTGAGGGAGATTGTTCCCTTTGTAGTATATTGACAGAATTTTAAATTATTTTAGGTACCTGACCAAGGAGGATGTAGCAGCAGCCTCGCTTATCAAAGCTAGCAGCACCGGGGGCAGTGTTCGCCTCATCTCAAAAGAAAGTGGGATTTGTCTGAAGAATGAAAATGCTTCTATTGAACAATCAGGTCATTCCACAAAGTAAGTTTATTAATGCAATAAGGTGGTTAAGCTCTTCACAGACTTTTTTTTTAAGGGAGCAAAATTACTTGCTATGAGTGTTTACCTTGCTGAAGTACAGCGTTTAGACAAGAAACTCGCTGTAGTGCTAATAAGCTATGTTATTCTTACAACAATTTAGATTACATCTGTAAACAAAAAAAATAGTTACATGATTTAGTTAAGGAAAAAAGAACATTAGCTCAGGCCTGCTTGTGAGGTCAACAGCAAATTGGGGACACCAAATTTTCTTCTGGTTTGCCTCAATTTAGAAAAGGGAAGAACGTGAAAACTCCAGACAGACAACGCCCTTTTAAAAAATTTGATTAGACAAGCAGTGTGTATCCTGCCTGGAGGTAAGCTGTGGTGAGAGTAGGAAATTGAGAGGTAACCGTGAAGGTTGCGTAGAGAAACCAGGATATTTCCTTTGACTTTTTTACTTCTGTTAAAGAGGGGGCTGAAATATTTCACATTTATATGTGTACATGCCTGATAGAAACCACCATTTCTTTATAAATACAGCATTATTTCAGCTAATAATTCAGTGTACGTGTGTAAATGTAGTAGGATGTGCAAAAGAAAAATCTGTCTGCCATATTGTCAAATTTTGTTTAACTGGAAGTGTAAACCAAGTAGATGGTTTGCACTGTGCAGGCATCAATACAAGCAAGATATTACTTAAACTCGAATTGGTATTTCAGAGCATAAAAGATACCTAATGGAAATATACAGTGCGTTTAAAAAAAAAAATTCCATTGTGTTGCTGAATACCTCCGTTGTTAATAACTGTACTTTGTTCTCTGCAAACAGGTTGCTTTCAGAAAATGGAAGAGGTCCGTCAGCTCTTCATTCGGGGCAGGCTGAAGCAGAAGGCTCCTCCCTACCCAAAGGCTACTTGCAAGCCTTGGACAGCCAAGGGAACCCTCTCTGTCTCAGCTGCCAACAGCCAACAGCTCCGCTCGAGCCAGGCTGCCAGACCCGTGCTTGGGACACGCGATTCTGCTCTCATGCCTGCCAGGAGGACTTCACGATTCGCTCTAGTCAGAGCTACCTTAGGACTAAAGTGTTTGAAATTGAACATGGTGTTTGCCAGTTTTGTCATCAAAACGCCCAGGAGCTTTATCTCAGCATCAGAGATGCGCCCAAGAGTCAGCGTAAGAAACTTCTGGAGAGTTCTTGGATGTCTCACCTTCCACTTGGGCAGGTAATAGTACTGGTTTTTACGCAGTAACAGTTAATCTGTGTATTCCTGTAGCAGATAGTTCAGAGAAATCCCAAATTTCTTCTTACAGGTTTAAGATAGAAGGTTAACATAGCACCAACAAAAAACAAATCCTTTAAAAAAAAAAAATTAAAAAACCTAAACAACAAAAAACAAACCCCAAACAAAAGAAATCCCAGTGTCTTCTAACACATTTTTCATCTCTAAAAGGCACAGGCATCGGAATTCTGGTTCCTTAGGGATGGATGTAAATACCGCAGCTGGTTGTACTTGAAATGCACTTTATTAATGAACTTTATGGTTATGAAACAATTTAAGACTGGGTGTAGTCTAGCAGTACTAGGTTATTCCTGCTTTAGCAGAATATTTGGTAGGAGCTTAACTAAAGCCAGTTGTCACAGCTCCACTCGGTATCACCTCAAACTGCATTCCAAACTGCCACCGTTCTTCCATGGTTGTGATGGATTGCTTCTTCGCTGACTTGAAGACAACAGAGCAGGGACAGAGAATATTCCTCTGTAAAGTCGTGGTTTTATTCAGAAACTAAAATACTATTTTCTGCTGCAAAATTGAAATTCTACTTCAGAAGCTACTGGTTCTAAATTGCTTAAATTCTGCAGACACACATTGAAACTTGCAAAAGAAAGTTAATTTACCAACACTGGTTGTATGTATGAGATCAGCTTTGTTGCTTGCAGCTTGTGAAAACCAGGTGGTGTACATCTGAAAGATGGAGATGAGAAGTCTCGAGTAGGGGAATCTCACGGCCTTCTAAGCGAACACAGCTCCGTGTTACGTTACAATTAGCAGCCCTTAGCTTTTTGAAAGCTGACACAGGTCTTCATCACCTCAGGTTTCTCCGTGCTTTCTGGTACAATTACCATGGACTTGATCAAAAACTTAAGGACTCTAACTAGGTGTTTGTCATTTAATTTTTGTGATGGGACTATAGCTGTTGCACTCTTTATTTGTGTATATTTAATACCAGCACTTGATGATAAAATGACATTGAAGATAACTTGCTGTACCACTCAAGAAAACTGAACCTTTCATTCTGTCTTTCCTTGATCCACTGTGATGTGCTTCAGCATGCTGCAGGCTAGGTGAAAATATGGCAACTAAAATTACAGCTGTTTGCTTGTCCAGTGGGAGTAACAAAAAATGCTAAAATACTTTCTTTCGATGAAAACTAAAAATAGCTACTTCCCTGAATTATTTTCTTGTCCTTAAGGCAGAACACAGAGGTAGTTCCGAAGGAGTATCTATCGCTTCCAATGCCATGTCCTTTGTTTCCTGCAGTTGAATGACATCATATCAAACCCGACAGAAGGCCAGTTCTGGCAGGCAGACCATATCAAGCCTGTTTACAGCGGAGGAGGACAGTGCTCCCTGGAAAACCTTCAGACTCTCTGTACAGTCTGCCACAGAGAGGTCAGTGTGGTACGGCCAGAGGTAGCACAGCCGGACCCCGGGCTCGGAGCAGGTTGCTCAGCACCACCCAGTGCAATCCTGTGCCATCTCACCCCCCTCAGCGCCTGCCTGCCCTCAGGAACAGAAGGCCCCAGGCAGGGCTGTGGGGCAGCTCTGCCCTGTGCCCCCGGGGAGGGCCTGGCTCCGGACCTCCTGCCCCTCCTTTCTGCAGCAGCAGACTGTAATTCCTGTAATTCGGTTCTTCCTCAGCCCTCTTGTCTCCAGCTGAGCAACCCCGGTGCCCTCAGCCTCTCCATCCTGCACAGTGAAGATGGAAAGGCAGCATTAAACTGTTACAACAGTTTCCTCAGGAACTGGGAAAATGTCACCTTAATAAACATTTGCATTTTATTATGTAGTCTACTACAAAATTAGACTGAAGTGTAACTGTAGGCTAGTGCTTTCCGCCGAGCACGCTGTTGCCAAGTAACAATACTTACTGAACAGATCTATCTTTCTCTTTTTTGCAGAGAACTGCAAAACAGGCCAAGGAAAGAAGCCAGCTGAAGAGACGTTCTTTAGCTACAAAGTACGGCTGTGATATCACAAAGTTTTTTGTGAAGATGTAAAATGCAAAATATATTCAGTTATCATGAAACTCAGAAATCAGTATAGTTACATGGTTTTCCTCATGCACTGATTTAAAAATAATTATCTTTGTGACAGTCTATCATGCTGTTGATAGAAGGAAGAAAATACAGAATTAAAACTGAGAAATCATTTGTAACGCTGACTGTCAGAGGGCCTTGGGTGAGTGCATCCAAGGTACTTGGTACTTGATCATGGTTATGTTCTTATGACCCTGTGGTTCAAAGCTAAAGTTTTGTGTGTAACCTTAATGCAATTTTGAAGCATTACTGTGTTCCTATTCCAGGGTAGTTTTAGCTGCAAGAATTTGAGGAAGTTCTCTTGAACCTTCCATGGGTGTTACAGGGTTCAGTTGTATTGGGGACATTATTGACCAAGAAGATGATACCTTAGTTTTAAATACTTTTCTTTGTTCACGTATCAAAATTGCTGGAGAAGATACAGGCTCTGATACCTATTATGAGAAAAACAGCATGAGTGATTTGTCTCTTCTAAAACTGTATTAAGACAGTCCTGATCAGCCAGGAAAGGCTTCCTGTTGGCACTAGGCCTGACTTGTAGGACTTTGGCATTTAGAATTAATGTACATTGAAATCTGTTTTTACTTAAACCAGCTTGTATTAAAAACTTAGACATCATAAGGAACAATAAATATTACCAATTATCTCATCAAAGGTAGTTTCCAGGAAATGCTACAGTCACATTTTCCTTAACAAGATTGCAGTGATGCTGCTTATTTTAGACCATTTATGTGGCTTTCTTTGCGGTTGCTTCAAATAAATACGTGTCTCTCTTTCCTGGTGATTTTTTTTTTTTTTAATGCTTTATCCATTTCTCCCCTACCCCTTGAATGCCCTAAGGCAGTAGAAAGGTCATAAAGCCAATCTGTACACTACACATCTTCTTCTGAAAGTTCATGACTAATGTCAAGTACATCTAGGTAAAATAAGCTGAAAAGCTTTCTCTGTTATCCTTATGAGAAAAATTCTTAAAGTTTTAAAACTCTAACTGAAAAAAAGAATGTTTAAGACAAGGTAGTGGCTTGAGTGTACCATTTTCTATAGAGCGATACAAACAGGACTTTCCCAGCAAAGACACGTAGTGCTTTTTTTTGGCAGTTAACTAAAAGGTGTTGTTTGTGTTCTCAGAGTATGATTAAAGGAATCGTCTCTTCAGCAGACCAAGTAAGAAAGAACAGCCTGATAACTATCTGAGGGATTCTGAAGTTCATACAGCCTTTATCTGGGGCCACACTTCAATGTAAAATTTCATGAGAGGAGGAAACCAAGCTTAAAGATGACTTCTTATTCAGTAATTAGCCTGGTGCAATTTCTTTTAAAGCAGCTAGACAGTTAAACAACAGCTAAACGGGTCTTTGTCCTTCTCACCCCTTGTCTCAGAGGGCTGTGCCTCAGGTGAAACACAACATCTTGCAGACCAAATTCTGTGACAAGATTTTTCTCTGAAGAAGATTTAACTCTTCTTTATCCTGAAAAAATGTATTTCTACTTGATACAGCTTTACCTGAGGGAAACACTCTAGCCCCAACCCCTGTCCCCTCAAAGAAGGTTTAGGGTAACACCTGGAACCCTACTATTTGAGGCAGAACTTAACTTTATGACTGTGACTACATTAAGCCTAGAAACAATGCTGTTCCTAGGTCCAGCTACACAAGGATGACATCTAGAAAGTCTTTTGACAAAAGAAGTCTGAGAGCCAGTAAGTTCAGATTTATTGAGTAATACTGGAGCTGTTTTCACACTTCATTTTGTAACGCTGACCTTTTGCCAATTTTTATTAGAACTCACGAAGATCACTGTAAAGCAAGGTTGGCACTTACACATCGTAGCGTTTGCATGATAGCTAGTGGGGTCACTGTACAGCAGGTGACAGAATTGTTTCATCGCATCAGAGCAAAGACACCGGATGCATTCAAACGGTCTCTGTAAATACCAGCAGGTTGCTTACAGTGAAACCCCTCTGCAGGTGTCACTTACTTACGTACAGCTCTGGCCCTTGCATGCAGGGAAGGGTGTAAAGGATCCAATCCCATCAGTGATCCACCTGAGGCGATCAGGCGTACTGTACTGTCCAGTCACAGCCCCAAAGATGGACAACTGCTGCAATGTTAGGCAAGTTTATCATGAACTAGAATGTACGGCCTACTTTAAATAAAAATAAGGATATTTTAGAAGTATTTGCAACTTGGCGATGAACAAAAAAATACTGGGTTCAATATTTATGATTAGCAATAAATACAAATTACTTAATGTTTGCACATCAATTTAAGTAGACTACTGTCACTTGACAAAGGCTGATTAAGAACTGTAAAGCAGCACAGTCTGCATGGATTTCAACATGAAGTATTTGCATACGGCCCACTCATGTCCATTATTTAACAAGCTAATGCAAAAAAAATAATGCTTTGGACAGCGAGGAGATTGCTTCCCCAAAGATCTACGTAAAACTACTTGTGAAGCCCCTTCCAAACCTCCACGTTAAGAGTTGCTACAGGCATCCTCCTCGGCTGCCAATTCAGCTCTGTCCTTGGGAACATGACTCGCCATCATCACTAATGCCGCCTGTACTGTTGATGACCGTATTGTCGACTCCCCACAAGCCAGTCAATCTGTAACTGTTAACTTCCCCGAAGGAAAATAAATAGCATGCTACTTGTGAAGACACACAAGCTGACACAGCTGGTTACATCAGAAGAATGTCGTATCTGCTGAAAAGGCACCTGCAAGTCGAAAATCTTCCTTGGTCAGCACGCTGTACATGCGCTGGGGCAACGGTTTGGAGTAAGGTGCGGGGCGGGGGACGGTTGTGCGCAAAATCACTTCGCGACCCGTGGGCGGCGGGAAATCTGAAACAGCCCCCGTGTTGAGTCTTCGCTCCTCTGATGAACCTGATCGCCTCAATTCTTCATCAAGTGGAGGCACTGCAGAGACCTTAAATAAGAGCAGCGGTATAATTACAGGGCAAGCTGTTTCTTTACATTAGGGTTCAGAACATATTTCTTAAGAGGAACAGAGGAAAATTAGAAATGGTAAACACATCAACAGGCTTTATGTGTACACAGAGCAAGACACTAATGGGATGTCAAGAAATAAACTGCACACAATCAAATGCAAGAACCTTCATGTGTGGATGGTGAAGCTCAGCCTAGATTAAGCTCCTGATTTTTTTGGCAGTGTGAAGCAAGGGTTTTGACCAGACGAAATGTCCCCTTCTCAAGCAGGACGCTCTCCTCAGCTCTCTGTGGCTACACGAGGCCAAGCCACCCTCCTTTTAAAAATAATCAGTGCTGCTACTGCAGCCTTGACAAATAGTCACCTGCCTTTTCAAACTCAAAATACTACTTCGATACCTGCTTTTCATGGCCAGAGAGAGGCTTGCCGAAATTACATGGCCAAGCAAGCGAGACGCTGTGCAATCTCCATCGATGCTCACTGCCTCAGAGCCAGTAAGCAGCAACACAAAAGTCTGAATACTGGAAGAAGGGTCAGCCCAATAAACATTCCCTAATTACATACACATATGTGTAGACACACACACAGCCCCCCAGTACCATAATAGGGTGCTAATTAAAGTGTACACAACTGAAGATTGGCAACGTCACCGAGGTGTGCCAGGACCCTCTCGGCTCCCACCCCTCTCCCCCAGACACCCCCCAGGAGTGGGGACCCGGTACCGCTCAGCTCTGCGCCCTGTGCCACCGGAGAAGTCACCAGGGACAAGCGCACCTTGTTCCCATAGGAACAGTTCTAAGAAACCAAGAGAGAGGACGTTCCCTGCGCTACACTTCACGAGGTTACCCCAGTTCTTCCCCTAGTGCTCTCCAAGAAGTTCAGCTGCTTCAGTAAGTACTGGTGTCCAGACCGCAACATTCAGGTACCGCCCATCGCTACCTCCACCCCCCAAACAGCTGGCTGGTCAATAAACAAAAAACAGTGACAGCAACAGAGAAGAATATAAAGGCATGGCCACGTATTTCAGCATCTGAAAAAATGTTAATATTCACTTGAAGAAATGTTTTTTGTTTTGGTTTGGGGGGTTTTGTTTGTTTTTTGTTTGTTTGTTTTTTAAAAAAGATTTCTCTCTCTTTTCACTACCTGTTAGGCTCTAAAAATAAAGTCTGTGAATGAGGAAAAACCATTCTGGAAACACAAAATTATTTTTATGCTTAATATGTGAACAACAGTACAAACTAAATCAGGCTGCTGTACTACATCTACCAAAAGGTTCAACTCTATGCAGCTAGGGAAGATGAGTGGGAAATGAGGGACAAAGTCGGTTACCTCATCAGAAGATTCAGTCAGCTTGGAAAGGGATGAGAAAAGAGCCAGTGATGAAAGATAGAAACAAAGGCAAGTCAGAGGTGACTTACAAGAGGTTCGAAGGAGACTGCAGGTTTAAGAGACATCATGCACTCTACTTCCAAGAACATGCATTTGCTATCGTAATTCTCCTGAGAAAACTTGAGAACATAACACCACATTTTGCACAACTCAGAGAGAGGAGTCCAGGTTCAACGGTAATGAACAAGGAAGTCATTCAACTTCTGTCTACCAAACAGCGCTCTACTGAAATAATTCATGGTAGATTAAACACAGGGGGGGTTTTGTAGCAAGTCAGCTCCTGTCCCACTGATGAGTGTTAATTGACAGTGACCAGCTACTAATAGGAAGTATCTGTAACCCAGCTTTAGTTACTGATGTTTCAAAAGAAACAAAACCCTAGAAATTTGCATACATCTTTATCGAACATTAACGCCACAAACTTACTCAGCTTTAAAAACAGAATGCCTCAACATTAAAAAGGCAAGTGGATACGCTTACAGGGCACAGCCTTAGGCTTTACAGGGGACTCTGTAAGTAAGGCTGTTGGACATTTTGAGATTTGCAACCAGATTTTCCCCAGAGACGAGAAGGATAAAACAAATGTTCTGATTTTCATTTCTCAGAATAACCATGGTCAG